CCAATGTGTTGCTGTGGCTACCCTCGGCCTGATCTATGATCGTAGCAGCGAAGAAGCTCGGACGGAGCTCGTAAACAGCCTAACTAAAACTATTGTTGGCAATGAGAAGCGGTGAGTTCGATAATCACGTGTACAAACTCTTCTTGTTTTGCAACTGTTTATCCCCTCATTCAAGTGTTCTCGCGACCACTAACCTAATCGTGTGTTGTTTTTTTCTACCATGCGTGGAATTCATTCCCTTATCAGAATACCCATGAGTTTAAGTTTTATGAACAGCGTCATTCCCATCATTTTTCTTGATCCGTTGGTTTACCGCTGATGACATAAACCGGTACCTTGATTCACACCTGCTTTTATGCAGTTCGTATTTGCTTTAATACAAGCAGGCTTCCTGTGTGTCTTCCCGTAAGGGTTTTCGGGAATGAGGTCAGTGTCATTCGGCTTTTGTTTCTCACGACCCCCTTAATCATTGCAAAACCTGCAAGAAAGAAAGAATCTCCGCTTCCTGGAGATTCAGCCTCGGGGCTATTAATTTATCCTAGTTCGGTTCTGTTTGTTTGTGATCACCGTCATATGGACACCGCGACTTAGAGCCAACATACGAGTTCAAGTTGGCTGTGGACATGATAAGTCCTGCGGTCCGAGGTACTACCAACATTCCATACTCCTTCACATTACTAGAACCGCCTAGGACTATTTTCGTCCCGATAGACAAAGTTCAGAAATTGCCTTGACCGAATCCATTGTTAATAGACCTGTACTACATAGTTACACAATCCCACAGCTCGCACGATGACAACAGGCTCGTATTCAGTGTGTTTTAATCGTGTCATAGGTAGGGTTCTTGTGTTTCAACATAAAAAAGACGATCGGCGACTTCATATACTCTTCTGTTGGTTTGTTAAAAGTACGCAGCTGAAATACACGTACAATGTTAACAACATGATATACAGACAACAAGTAATAATATTGCATATACCAATTTCATTTTCCAACTTTTGGAAACTGTAAGCTGGTGTGATCACTTGTTTTAATGCTCGCAACCGTATAGTTGGTTGCATTAGCATAAAATACTTTTCCGTTCGTCCGATGTTTCACACATTTCTCGGAAATTAGTATTTAAAACCTGTCTGCTGGTTGTTAACGAATCCTTTCACTACCCGCAGACAAGGATCACCAATCTATCGAGAACTATGTGGTCTGGCGCAACAGATTGGTCGTCCAGACCTGGCTCTATCCTTGATTGTGCTCGCGATTGCCTTGCCACCGAATGCCCGTCTGTCCGGTTCGAGCCCCGGTCAGCACGCTGCATCGAATGTTGCATGCAATCTGGCCGCCAGTGTGACTTACGCAGGGCTTGTGCGTCGCTTAGGTCGCGCACTAGCTCCGGCACTTCCTCGCTTAGTACCCCGAATCTTCATTCGTCGCTTTGACTACGCTCGACCGAGATTGCGTCAGGCTATGGAAAATGTGTGGCTCGGTCTGGTCTCATACGCGTCCAATTCGGCCACACCGTCACTGGCTTGTGTTAATCCTTGCACCACATTGAATTTGCCGACTGCCGGGGGCCAGTCAAACACATCAACCGGACAACAGCAACAACCGCAACAGGGTTCGCAGTCTCCGAATCATGTGCCCTCCAATTCTATACACGCATTGGCCTCGGAGATGGTAAGTAATGCACAACACAGAGTTTCCCGAATTGTATCATATACATGGAAGTTCACAATAAATCCAAGCATTCTGAGGGGTCTTATATTAGAATGCCTTTGAGATTAGAACATACCTTTCGGGGACTCCATATCTCATCAATAGGGTAAATTAAAAACAATAATTGTTCTGTATATATGTATTCCTTTTTGTTTGCTGATTATAGAAATCTACAAAATACTTTCAGGAAGGGGGCCGCGGCCATACAAAAGCTACCCGGCTAAATACAGATAATGGGAAAGTGGACGGTGGGGCGGGGTTCGAACTCAGGACCCACAGGAGGTTATTTCGACAACCGTGCCATTCGAATACTATCACCACTTATTAATTGTTGCTTTTCATTAAAATTTGGTGTTCTACATTCCTTGATCACCGGAAAAACCTACGAGATATAAGTTACAATTTAGGTAGCCAATGTTATTGATTGTGATATTTTATATACATATAAAATTTAAAAAATGTTTCTTACGTTGTACAATGCAGTCTCGTATCGATTAACCGTTGGGTCAAATTTTTTGTTGCTGATGAAGCAATTGGCAGTTCAATTTTTAGGATTGGATGATCAGACTACAATGTTACTGTACTTGAGTACACGACTTGGTGAGGCGTTCGTTCGACTTTTCTACCAAGGAAGTCTCACTTACGCTCCAAATGAACTGAATTGACAAACATTAAAAAACCCAAATTCGCCCAATCAGTGTAGTGTTACTGCTTGGCCATCGTCTTCCTGGATCAAATGTACTGTTCCACCATCAGCATGTTTTTTATTCACCGTGGTTCCTTTGATCTTGCTTGATTTGTACACTCGGCGAATGAAATTTTCCTATTTTTTTCCTGACAGATTGAAGCCCATTTCAATGCAATCATATGTGAAATCAAAACTCAACTTGGATTCAATACTCCGAGTAATATTCAATCTTCGAACTGTACTAGTAATCCAGACGGTTCTGGTTGTGCTGGTGGCCAAACAGCGTCTTCTGCTGGTTCCCCCGGTTCTCAGCCCACTAGTGGAACACAGAACGCCTGTCTACGTGACGCTTGTTGTCTGGCTATCGCCAGTCTTACCACTCACCCCTCCGCGGACAAGCGCCTCGCCGGTCATCTACCAGCATTACTTTCCGGTTTGCTCGGACTGTGTGATGAATACGGATCGGTATCTCAACCGCCTGCGGTCTCCCATGAACATCCACAGTCTACGTTGTCAGCTGGTATCACCTCACCCCCGGAAGAGGCTGCAATCGCAGTGCAAAAGGTTAGTTCAGTATGTTTAGCTGTTGTTATCGTTGTTCAAGTTTTCCAGTAGTGCCTATTTTCTAGACGTCTTCGATCTCCTGCCCTTATTGCTTGACTTTCGTTGAGATTGGCATTCGAAGTATTCATAGAATTTCTTGCGAGTTTGATACGAGTTATCTTCCTTGCCGTGTTTGATTTTTCTGTTTAGGGATATACCTCTAGCCTTTACACAAGAAGTGTAACCTGCAAGATAGAAAGATTTTCCCAAGAGTCCTTCTATTTATTCGATCAAAATGGTGTGATGTGGTTCACCCACTATTCCGGAGCTGTTTCACCTGGATAGGTGCAGCTGTGCCTCACCTAGTTCTCACCAACCCGGGTACATTCATTTGGTTTAACCCGTCCGTCAAGTGATATTACTCGGGGTGCGACCCGTGTCACCTGTAGGCAACCTCGTGCAGCCGCAAATAAAAGTTAAACGATTGCCGTGGATCAACAGAAAGCAACTGCTCTGTTGGAATAAGACGTAAAGTATGATTATTTGTTGATTCCGGTCTATTTGAAATCACACACAGTGAACACCCTCTTCAATGCAATTTTGACGACAATATTAAGCATAGTTTGCTAAACTTCAAGTGGATGAGAGATGTATCTTTATTACGATTCAGGGATTACTTTTGATTTTCTCCAGAAGTGTAATTATTTCGTAAGGTGTATTTTTGCTACATCGTTTGCCGACCTATAATTCTTTCGATATTTTCAGCTTTACTTTCCGAAATTTGCGCGTGTGGATTGCAGGATATAGGCACGACCGTATTTGTTCGAATGCTATCATGCTTTTTCTCTTGTCCATATGTGTTAGGACAACCTAGCCATCTGAATGCTGATCGGAGTGTTCAACTAACACTAGCTTCGTTGGCTGGAACAGGCTTTTTCCATGTCTCCGAACGACCCGCTTTGATCTGCAATGCTCATCATGAGGAATAATATATTGTAAATGGGCAATTTAAGCTGACCGGTTCACAGAGTTATAAAAAAACCCACTCACACTCATTGATAGACTGATTCCCTTCGACACTTGTAGCCACCAGTCTATTCTGTGAACTGAAATATCAAACAAAATAGTCAGGAGTTGTACACATTGACATTCTTCCGTGGATTGTTCATTATTCTGTTGATTTTCGGGGAACGAAAAGCGCCATTTGTCAGTATTAAAAGTTGTTACACTTTGAAGTCCGTTCAACCTTCAAGTCTGTTTATCACAACTTCTTTCCGTTAACAAAAACCTCGCAGCTTGTAATTCGTGTTTTGGAGAACCCCTGTTCCCGGGAAGCAGCCGCCGGATTGCTCCCCGGTCTTCTTCCAGTCATCATCGATCGTGCTCCGTGGACCTTGGGTTCGATGAATCCCGAGATGGATCCGACAAAAAGCAATCGAGTCACACAGCCCAGTGAGTCAAGGCGTCTTGCACTGGAACTTCTCCTGGCCGCTGCTCGTACCGCACGTCCATCCGCATTGCGACCGGCTTTGCCACAACTTGTACTGGCCGGACTGCACACAATGTCGTCCGTGCATCCGTCCATTGTGGCTAGTCTGATGAGACAGCCAGTGCATCATTTACATCAGTTACATCATCATCATCATCACCAGCAACAGCAACAGCAGCAACAACTCCCATCATCATTGAGTTCAGTTGCCCTGGCAGGACAATCAACTGGGTCTGGCCTGGCTGTGAGCGCGGGTACCGGTGCCGCGGGAATGCCACTGCAACAAACACAACAACCACTTGTTCCTCTCCCAGGTTGTGTAGGCAACAATAAGGAGGTGCAAATGGCCGAAGTGTTACGCTTGGTACGTCTCCCATTGACCTATTTGAGTCCTCCTTTAATTTCATTTGGTGAATCTTTAGGGATCAATCAGCACAACATTTCAGATCATGAAGGGTACTGCCATTATTGCTATTCCATCAGGTGGCTAATACTTATGGTTGCACACAGTAAGGGGACCATACACCAGATTGTTCATATGTGACAATCTAACCGTCCTTTGTCCAGTCGACAATTGCATTCCTTATATTGGTTGGCAAGACCGTTGCGTGATAATCATATATTTTGACTAATGTTCAGTTGTCTGGTTGTCCATTGTAGTCTTCACTGTAATGAATAGGTATCTGCTTGTTGATAAACCGGACCACAGGTGTTTCATTTTTTCAATTTGCCAGAGGATTTGGATGTACAAATTTTAGATTTTCTCATCTCTTAAATATGCTCACGCTATTGCACAACCGCAAACGCCTTGCTGAATGTCATTTGCCCTGCAGTGCGTCCGTCTTATTGACGATGTCTGTCTGTCCCGCTTGGTGGTTCCTTTCACCGAGTTAATCCGAGCTGGAGGTGGTTCATCTACAGCAACAATCGGGGCCAGCAGTGCAACTGGGGGCAGCCGTGGAACAGGTGCTCGAGAATCTGCCGCAATCGCCACAGCCACCTNCAGCCACCTGCGTGTTCCTGAGTCATTTGGCAGCAGTGAATGCAAGCGCCTTGGCCGCCCACACTTCGAGTCGTAACGGTATGTGTTTACGTTGCTCTTCGGCCACTTCCGGCTCCACCGGGATGGCGGTTGGTCCACCTGCTGGTAAGGATTTGTAGTCGGAAATGACCGTCTGTTGTGTTATATCTAAGGCACGCTATTTCGCTTCTGAAAACAACCCAAGAGCCCTCGCATACCAAATATTTTATTCTCTCCATTTTAGACCGTCTGGTTTATCCATCACGTTCAGAAAGCCCCACACGTTTTCTACAGACCTAATCTGCATTCGCTTCTATCTTTAAAATTAGTGCATCCAGCCTGTGATTTTCGTATGTGAGATACAGATAGACCATTTTTATTTTTCCTATATCTAATTCTTAACCGCAAGGTTAACCATAACAGCAAAGACTAAATGCCCACCGTAACGTGTACTGGGCATTTACGTGCTCAAATCATTGATGATAATGGTGACCTCAATGGTGCTCTCAGACCAAACTAATACAACTATGCCACGTGCGTGGTGCAGAATAGCACTGGAATGCTTTATAAATATAGTCCCTTGTTGCGGGATACACAAAAGATCTGTCTTGTAATAATGATAATATGAAGGAGAGAAAATTTCCTTCAATTTTATTGAATATACAAATGTACGTACAGTGGATACATACAGGGGAGTTGCTGCTAATCAATGCTGTCCACGGCTATCAGAAATTGTGCGAGAGTGGTGACGAAACCGAATTACGAATGCATAACCTCTCAGTTCGTATAGCAATCTCCTTGCCCACTGCCCCCCTAAAAGAGGTTCTCCGAGGGTGTCCCCCATGTAAAAAAATTACACATCCATTTGATCCCGATTTGCGATTCCCACTTCAACCCGCTGACCCTGCGAAAACAAGCCTTTATCTCGAGTCAGAACATTTGTGATCACACTGATCCGGATCACTGTTTTTTTAGTGAGAAATCCCGATAACACCAACTAATGTGCATCTTTGAAACGTGTTGACGAATACCGACAGCGCGATTAAGGAAACGACCACATGGATATCCAAAGCTCGATTAGCGTTGGCTGAAGTGAAACACTGAACAATCAGTTCTAATTTGCAGTTGTGAGATCTTGTTTTTGCTTGTAGAAGGAAGATACCATTAGCTAGAGGCTTTTGACCTTCAATGTTTGCATAGTTTGTCACAGGTAAGATGAGATAAGCGTGTTACCAATACGTTTATGTCGTCGTGTTTTGGGGGAAGTTTCAGTAGAAAATTCGTTGTTTTATATCATTTGAATACGTAGACCTCGCTGGTTAGATAATCTATTTCGCATCTCTTCTGTTGTCTACCGCACCATGCCTTGTCCACAGTCACCTTTCGGGGCCGGATAAAACCACGTACCAGCAAATGGCATGGAGACGAAGGATGAATAAATAAACAAAGGCTAGGTCGAGCAGGTGTTTCCCGTCTGCCACACTGGATTTCTAAAGACTATGTAACAGGTTGATTAATGCCATTGAAGAATATGACAAGAAATTGTAAACAGTTGCGTTCTTGCTGTCATTCTTTATCAGATCAAAATGCTTAAGGAGGTGGTCATGCATAGTTGGATTACTCTGTGTGTTGAGCGTAAAGATTCACTTATTTTCCTTCCCTAAAAACAAATCCACTTTACGCATTTACTCTGGCGTTTTATTTATTGTGAGTTTGTCAGTTATCAGCAAAGTTTGCTTCACCGTATTTCGCTGTACGATGACAAAGGGGATAATTCTAGAATTGTCATCAACAGTATCATACCAGGAAATGCGGTACAGTGAACTTCACCGGTTACTGCGAAGCTCATATTCAGGGTAGTTGTGGAGTTAATCTGTTCTGACCGAGAGGAAATGAAAGAAAAATCCAGTGATAAACATCCGGAGTACACAGTCTGTTTGTACGTATACCCCTTTTCAAACATCCTGATCGCTGTTGTTGGTTCGCTACTGCTCCCAATCGGTCCGTTATAGGCTTCCATACCAACAAACGATAGACACTCATTTGACCTATTCCCCCTATATGAGCTTGTTCTGATTCTCATCTCTGTCATTTTATGATTTCCGTATGGTTTTTTCTCTATCCTGAACCAGTCATTGCAAATAATCCACGGCGTGGTAGACGACAATTAGATTTGCGCAATACGTATTCTAAACAGGGATGCTTGCCACTTGAGTAACTTTCTTCAATAGCAATAAAAAGCACAACCGCCTTCCTTAATATCACTCACCTGTTAACTCCTCCCCAACTGGGTAACTATCGAAAATCGATACCCTCCAATCGAATCAGCTGGAAAGTAGTTTGATGCATTCTCATGAAGTATAAACGAAAGAACCTACATTTTGTTAGGTTCAGCTACCGTCTCTGGCGTTGGCACAACCTTTTTTAGCCACGGGTATACTCTTGATCACCAAAATTATTTGTCATTTTCATTGATTTTCTAGAATTGGTTATGGCACAACTCATTTATGATACTATTCCACTCACTCACCGCATACGCCGAGTTCAAAAATTCATCTCCTTAAATTCTCGTTCATGCCATGTCCCCTTGTGCGTTTACTTCTCAGGCGAAAGTCCTGCTGGGTCACCATCTCACAAGTTGCACCCATCTCCTTGCGGTTCGGCTCATTCCTCACCACCGTCTATGTGTACCCTATCACCCGCGGCAAACCCGTTGTATACTCCTGGCTCCGATGGAAATGTAATTCACAACCTCGATGCTACGGGAACCTCCGTTACTCCGGCCACTGCGCATCGCGGTCGTACCGGTGCAAAGCACGCAGTCCCACCGGGTGTTACCACGAATTCACCTGGCTCCGGATTGATAACCAGTCTAACCACAGCTTCCGGGGCTGGCAATAGCAGTGGCAATGGTGGTGGCGGTGGATTCGCCTCCTTGGTACCACATACTGGCAAGTTACTGGCGGCTTTGCTCTCCGCACTCCCCGGTGCTTGCCGACATCCCGAATCAGCGGGCAAAACAGTCCAAGGGGAAATGGCCCGCACATTGGCTAGTCTGTTACGATTTGCCAAGGTTAGTTCGTCCGTATCTGTTCTTCACACAGTTGTCTGGCACAACCCATCGTCTTGCATCAATCAACTTCAAGAGAGGTGCTATGTTAAAGGATATGTACATCAGAAAGGCCAATGCTTAAGCTTATTTCAGTTACTTGATAAATCTCGACGTATACAGAGCAAAATCAAAAGCTCTACAATGACTTAAAATTGTCGTTGCGCCTCATCAGCAGTGCGAATCCATTCAGCCACTTAACACCCTAATCCGGAACCAAGCAGACAGAATACGAGCATACTGGTCACCGACGAACTGATCAAACTGTTTCACCTGCTCTGAATAAAATGTCGTTTGTCAAATCATACACCTGTGTCACCCGCCACTGAGCGTGGTTTACATGTGCGATGTGGCAATGTGCGCCCTGCCCAGTCGCCTTTCATTAACTGCCAACCGGTTCACTCGAGTTTGCAAATGCATGAGGAAAACATGTATGCGATCGGAAAGCCGGTCAACATACTTACGCAGGCCACTAAACACACAACAACCATGGACTACTATTTGACCGATTGTGGGAACTCGTCGATACCTGTGTGTGTGTGTGGGGGGGGGGGGGGGGGGGGGGNNGACTGATCCAATCACTGCAAACAAATTGTGAAAATGAAGTCCCTCGATTCCATTTGATTTTTTCACCTTGTTCTAAAGGGTACGATGATGTGATGTGATACCACACCATTCAAAGCCGTTTTAATGGTTCCATCTGTGGAAAGGTCTATGCTCCTGGCTCCTGTTTTAACGGCCGGGTTAGTCTTCGTCGTATGTGTTCGTACACAGACACTACCCTCATTCCGTCAGTTCCTGTTACTCGCCAGTCCTTGGCACAGATAAGAGATAGGTTTTTCATTTTGCTTTGTCTGCATCACGATTTTTTTCATGAAACCGCACCTACTTGGATTTCCAAGTAGTCTGTAAGACCGAAACCGACATCCAGTATCGTGCGCAATCGCTGATCACTAATATGTGAACACACATTTAGAGGCAAAGAATTCTTTTCATTGATTTATCTTCTGGCCTGTACAGATCAAATAGGAAAATGGCATTTTGAACGGGGATAGTCATTCGGTCATTCGAAAGTCACGGTGATTAATTGAAAGGGTGAGGAATGGGAGGGGGGGGGTTGTGACGTGTTTCACGCCCCTAGATCACCACAGCATTGCAATCAAACTGTGACGCGTCATCTGTGCGATCGATCTCTGATCACGGTAGTTGAATAGCGTGATCTGTACAGGTCAGAGGATGAATCAATGAAAAGGATTCTTCGCCTCTAAATGTGTTTTCTCACGTTAAAATGGGCATATTCTGGAACTTAATCACTAATAATTGACTGTGAGTGTTTTTGTTGCACCACTCGGTGTGATGCA